ATTCTGTGAAAGCTACTTTAGCCCCAAAGGGAGCCAATTCCCTTCTTCATTATTATTTTCTTTTTTGATGACTTTAAGAACATTCTTTTGCTCCCTGAGAAGATTTCATGATTCAGTAAAACTGGCACCTCTAGAAAAATGATCTGCTAAAGCAAGGGATGGTGAAAGGAAGAAGAAAGTCAACTCTATCACCTAAAGAGAAAGAAGCCTATCCATATGAAATAGTGGTCTTTGTGATTTCAAGTTTATTCTGCTTCCCTACTCTTGTAGAAGTGGTGTTTGATTCATGTCTACAAAGCGCAGACCAGGACAATTACCATATCTTCTCACATCCGAGGTACACCTTCCCCCCCACCCCTCCCAAAACCAGCTTCTGGAAACTTGAGTTTCCAAACATGAGGAAATATGGCAAGAGCAGTTTTTGCCACTTACCAAGCAAAAGCAAAAGTGAAGTCTGCATAGAATCCACATAGAGGCTCAGCTCCCTAGCTGCTGCTACTCAGTTACTATTTACTACAGGGGGGCGTGTCTACCTGAGACTTTTTACTGCACAGTTGACTAATTAGCTGCACAGTAAATGTCTCAGCGTCTACACATGCACCCCTATTAGGCTTGAGTAAACTAATTTACTCTGTAGCAGATAGTTCTCGTAAATAAAAGTACTATCCTACCACGAACTAAAAAACTCTGCAGTAGTGCATGTGTAGATGCTGGAGGGGATAGCTTGGGAATGAGGCTACTTTAGTGTGGGGGCTGCCTGCTGGCTAGCCCTGTAATAAAGCTTCTTCATGCTGAGCCAGGGGAAGCAGCCCCAGTCTGGAAGGCTGAGTCCTTGGGCCCCCTGCCAGCCAGGGCTGCTCTGACCCAGCTCCATGTGCTGCACATAAATAAACTGCAGAATTTATTGCTCTGAAGTTAATTGCTTCTAAGTGCATGTTAAAACAGTGCACCTGGGAGTGATGAACTGTAGAGCAATAAGCTCTACAGTTTATTCATGTGCAGTAATAGTACGTGTAAATGTGCCCAGGAATATATTTTCTTCTTCATTCTGCCTAGCAAGAACAAGGGTTGTATCTTAATTGAGGGCAAGCCATGTGCATGAAAATACAATATTTATTTATAGACTCCAGTTTTTAATTAACATTATCATATCTCCTTCTCTTTGTTACCACATGCCTTCACTGGCTGCTGAACTGCCAATATGTACATGCATCAGTTTAAGGACATGTCCAGTGAGTCAAGTGGTGGTATATCCACACTGCAATCAAGCATTAACTCTGTGTTGTTACAGCTGGACTTTTACAGGTATCTGAGTTAACTGGTTTAAAGTTAGCTTGGGTATGTCTAAGCTACACTGCACTCCCTAGACATAACTAATACCTGCAGTGTGGTGTGGTGGGGTGGGGGTGGAGAACTTTCCTAGGTTGAATGACAGGGCTTAGATTTATAACATCAAGTTCAGCAAGACGTTAAGAAAAAGATGTTATAAATAGCACAGCACCCTGAGTTATTGGGAAGAACTACTCAGTGACAGGACACAAGGCAAAATTAAAAACAAAAATAAACAAGCCAAACAATTGGAGTGATCTTTGCCAGAATGAAACATTCACCTAGTAAGCCAGCAGGAAGTTGAATCTCACGTACTTCAGAGCAGAGCGTGGGAGTGATGCTTCAGTTAATTCAGCTCAGAGTTCCTGTAGAAAAACCCTATACATGTTGGAGTGTAACCCAAAGAGGAGTTGATCTAGGCTAAGAATATACTAGAAAAGGGGATCCCAAACTGTGATACACATACCCCTGGGGGCATGCAAGACATCTCTGCGGGGGGTACATATGAGAAATTGTGTAATGGCTGATTTAATTTTCATTATAATAATAACTGGCATTTAAGAGGTTAAAATATAAAACATGCTGGTAGGGTTATGTGGGCAGCTGGTATACCTGGAAGGGAATATGCAGTAAGAAAAGCTTTGGGAACCTCTGTACTAGAGAATTATTTCCTAGAATTTAACATAGACTTGTATCATTGTTTGAGAAATTTAGTATTTTATTCAAACATTGCAAAGAAAGGATTCTGATTATAAAGAGGATGGAGACAGGTGTTTCTCTGTGGCTATACAGGACAGGACTAGGACCAATGGACTCAAGTTGCAGCAGGGGGAATTTAGGTTGGAGATGAGGACGAACTTTCTGACTAAGCTGGTCAAACATTGGAACTGGCTACTGAGAGAAATTATGTAATCTCCATCCCTGGAAGTTTTCAAAAGCAGGTTGGACAGACCCTTGACTAGCATGGCTTTATTAAAGATGATCCTGCTTAAAGAAGAGGGCTGGATAGATGACCTCATGAGGTCCCTTCCAACCGTAAGTTCCTATGATGCTATAAAGGCTTTCTTTCTGCAGTGTGCAGTGGTCTTGGTACACTAAGAATGCTTTTAACTACAGCACTTTTAATCAAAATGTATAAGCAATCTTCACAAGAGAGAGAAGATAACTGCAACAATCCAGAAGTCTGAAATGGCATTATTATACTGAACTGGTATAAGGCTTACAGCTAGAGTTGTAGCCAGATGATGCTAGTTTCGCCTTATGAATAAGGCAAAAAAAAACCCATGGGAACTCTGTGGTAAGTGCTGGTTAATATGAGCTGGCTAATATTTACTCTTAGTGGTGGCCACTGTACTATTGATGATAAGAATTCAGGCCATTTTAAAGTTTTTATTGTGGTTTTTCTTCTTTTATACACACATTTTGTAGTCAGTGTGATTAGCTTAATAAAATGTAGAGTCTAACTATGAAACTTCTACTGACACTTGAGACATTCCAGAAGGAAAATCCCAGAAGGAACTAAATGCTATGCTTCACGTTGCTTTATGTTAATTTCCTGAAAGTTTCAAATAGGAAAGTAGTTTGAAATGGCTTTACTGCTGGCCAGTTTGTTTTTCCCCTTGGTAGAGTAAGACCCAGTTTTTGTGGCTGAATAACTTTCTTGCTTTTTCTTTTAAATGATTATAAATATTGCCAGAACATACCATATGGTGATATCTGATATGGATGGTAGGACAGAAGTTTTATTTAGTTATCAGAGATTGTGCACAGGGGCCTCAGATATCAGAACTCTCTGCAAAGCCCTTTAAGTCAAACTTGACCGTTTGATCAGCTTGCTTCTGTATTATTTCATGGGGAAAAAGGAAGCTCGTTACAAACAAAACTAGCATTGTATAAGCCTCCTATTGCCTTTAAGCCTGAGAATAAATACAGCAGAGTTGTTCAGACCCGGATTTAAAACACATACTTCTACATGGTTCTCTCAGCTAGAATCAGCTTTAGAATAGTTTATTTTATTATTAAACTGAAGTTCTGTAATTCTATTGCTTTCTTTTACCAAGCCTGCCTAAAATCCTTCAGTCTTTCCCATGGGTCAGAACTGCTCCTTCCTCCTCACACTGCAATTTTTAAAAAATTTTTCTTTATTTTTGAGTGACCTTGGAGGACTCCTCATCTCAGACTCCACATGGAAGTTTTGGAAAACCTGAGCATGTTCTACCTCTTTTGAAAAAGTCTTCAGTATCATAGATTTTGACAGTCAAACATACAATTTTCTTTAGATTTTATTTTTAGATAATTTTGTTTCAATGCTAAATATTGCTTTAAAAACAGCAGTGGACAACAAACAGATCAGAAGATAATACTTGCATTTTCCAGGGGCCAGTTTTCAAAGCTTTTCTTTTATGTGAGATGTCTCTCAGATACATAGCAGAGGAGTGGACTTTTCTGTATCTGGATTTTAACTACTGATATTGTGGACCTAAGCAAATTATTTTAGCTGCAAGATAGGGTATTATAGAAGCTGCACTGGCGGGGGAGCGCAGCCTGGGTGTTTTTTGGGTTTTTTTAAGAGAGCTGCTGAAAACAGACTGTAATTTATGGCTCAATTCACCGAATCAAAATCTCATTCCAGAAACGCCCCCGTTCAGCATTACAGTGAGGGTGATAAAAACCTTATGGTTAGTGACTTTAAAAAAGCGTTGTAAGAGATATTCTAGGCCCTCAAAATTCATGCAAATAGGAGAGAATGTAACACACAATTTTCTTTCCATTTCAGCCTTTGCTAGTTAGTTAATTTGTTGGTTTGTATTCCGTATTTTTTTAAAAAGAAGTGACTGCTTTACTTCAACTAGAAGCGCTGTTTCACTTAGAAAGGGAAACTCAGCTAAGATTTTATAGGTTCTTTCAAACCATTAAATCAGTGCCAGTGTATCTAAGTAGGGACTTCTGGTACCTAATTCTCCCTCACATATCAGCAGGAGTGGGCAAGCAGTAAAACATCTATACCACGCCAGCCGAATTTTGGCCATGAATTTATGATTCCAAGTACTCAGTTTATAGCATTCTTGTGTTGTTTCTGTCTATATGTAGAAAAAAAGCAATCTGAGAAAAATATAAAGCCTCCACCTTGCATCAGTCACATGTGCTACCACCACTCCATCAGATATCACAGCCTGGTGTTCTATTTGCTCACTGACTAGTTGCCAACCAGCATCCCGAAGGGGGAGTGGATGTTTGACTGGGATAAAAGTATCAAAAGCATGATCAATGTGTGGCCATGGAGTGTAAATTTCTAATGATAAATAAAGCAGTGAAAAACTATTTTAAACACAAGTTATAGGTAGGAAAGGAAGATCTATTTGATTGTTTGGGTCAGCCAGGGCCATTACTCCCAATTTAATTAGACAATAATTTAGCTAGTTTATTCAGTGAGAGAAGTTAAATAAAAAGTCTCATTTCAAGCACCTATGTCCTTTCACTGATCTGAATCCAAGTTCTTCTGACCAATGCCATTTGGTTTGCATCAGTGAACAGGAAAACATAAAAATATCTGTCACAGAACCCAAACAAATCTATTTCATATTTTATATTGTGTGATAATGATTTACAGCTAAAAGAGTAACACAGCTAGAAACACTGTTGTACAAGATGATCCAGGTATTGCAACTTACCTCTTCCCTGTGGTTCTTTATTGGCATACAAAGAATACTCTGTGTCTTATACCCTGTGATCTGGTCGACCTCTGCGTTGAATCGGGGATCCTTGTAAGGGAAAAAAAAATGTAATTAAATTACCCACTTGCTCAAAGGCTGTTTTCCTTCCTTCCAGTTTATAGGGCTAGAGGAATTCCAACATTCACATAACTGTTACCCAGGGCAACAATGTTTCCATTAGAAGATAGTAACTATGTAAATATAAAAGTTAGTACTGACAGAATGAATTATAGGAAATGTTGTAGAAAATAAATTGTGTATGTATAATATAAGCACTTGTGGATAAATGTAAGGGTTGGAAACTGCTACAAACTTAGGTAAAGCTTTTTCCAGCCTAGATATTTACTATAATAGCTGTATGTGCAAGTTAACTATTTCTGCCTCATTTCCATCCTCACAAGAAATTACCAAACTATTCAGAAAAATAGTCATGGCTAAAAAGGTCCTGAAATGAATGATTTTGGATCTAAAGCCAACAATAACACACATAAGAACAAACATTTGGGAATATATTTCATAGAAACCTATTCCCAAATATTAGAAAAGTCTTTTTTTCACTGTTAAAAGCTGTTTCCAGATCGAACCAAGCTCCTGAATAATCTTACCCTTGATCAATGAAAAGTCTAGCCCTGGAGCTTTAGAGAGGGCCAGTCTTTTAAGGAAAAATAATCATTTACTAAAAACTCATCATTGTTGCTACAAAATATATCCATAATGTCCGTAAAATAGGCACTAAAAAAAAAAAAAAAAAAA